GCTTCTGAATCAGCGACTGTAAGTATGTTTTGTTATTAGTTTAAGTATTTGCTATTGACTGTTCAAATGCGGAGTTATGCGCAGTGCAGAGTAACGCGTCGTGTGTGTGTGTGTGTGTGTGAGGGCAAGAGGAGGGTGTGTGGGGCGGCTGATTCTGCCTGAGGCGTGTTTGTCCCATGTGCATTTGAGAAAGAAGTGGATCCTGCTGGGAAGCAAAATGCCCTCATCGGGTAATGCTGTTGAATGCCAGCCGCCCGCTCCCTGCCCTAATGTCACGTCAGATCATTTGCCACCTCCTAAATGTCTGAATCCATACAATTGTTATTTGGTCCTACTTGAGAAATAATTGTACAGTTATTGTTGTTTATTATCACAGATGTTCACAAATTTCAGTAGAAAAAAGAAAAAACACATTCAAGGAAAATAAAGAAAAATAACCCTGTTAAGCTATGATTCTGACACATTAGGTCTCTGATTTCTTGCAGGCGTCTCAGCTCAGCTGACGAGTGCCCGTCTACGCCGAAACACATCAGTGGGAACCCCGTTCTGGATGGCTCCTGAGGTCTGTCCTGTCATAAACAGCATGACTTTGCTCTCTTTATTTCTCCCATTCAATCTCTTTCTAGTCACCACCTACCTCTTTCTTTGAAATCATTTTTATTTTATATCATTTTATTCATACTTTATTCCATGGTCTGTCTGAATACTGGATTCTGATTGGCTGGCAGGTATGCAGTAAAACCGTAATTTTTACCCATTCGGTCAAATATTGCTCCGCTTCGCGTCGGTGGTTCTTTGCCTCCACGTCGTGCATTTAAATCCTTTAATGCACGGCAAACCATTGATTATCCCTTACTTATACAACGGTGTGCCTGAATTCTCGATTCTGATTGGCTGGCAGGTATGAAGTAAAACCGTTTAATGCACAGGTAGTTCCAAGTCAGTTTAATCACCGGTCTATATTAATGCGCTGTTTTAATTGATGCCCAAAAACCCAAACACATGACTCGCAAACAACACACACACACACACATAGAGAGAGAGAGAGAAAGGGAGAGAGAGAGTCAGAGATTGCAACCCTAACCCTAACTTGTCAACGCTTCCCGCGACTTTTAATAATAAAATGTTTTTGAAGTAACACAGCTTCATTGTTTGTAGAGAGACGCGCAGACAAAGATAACGCACACACAACTGTCATCTCTCTCTCTCTCTCTCTCGCTCTCTCTCTCTCTCTCTCTCTCTCTCGACCGATAATTCATTTAAATAAATTCTATAATTCATTCAAATAAATGTGATCGTACCGCACTATTTCCTATTATTATTTCCTATTATTCACTATTATTTTTCACCTCTGTGTCTGATTTGATGTGAGCAGAATGCTAGTGCTAACAAGCCGCAATTGACGAAAATAACCTTAATTTTTACCCTTCCAGTCAAATATTGCACTGAGAAACATCATTAACAGCTTTAACTTGTAACTTGTAAATGTGCTGGCAAATGACTAAGGTATAAGCGGGATAATGCATGGCTAGCTGTGCATTAAACAATTTTAATGCATGCGCGTTGGGTGGTTCTTGGCCTCCACATCATGCATTAAAATTGTTTAAATCGCACAGCTAGCCATGCATTATCCCTTACATAAAATGATTGTAATATAGAGCATTAGTCGTATGGACTACTTTTATGGTGCTGTTGTGGCATATTCATTGTATGAAGAAGAACAGCCAGGACTTTCTCATAAATTTCTTTATTTTTTCCATACAGGTTGGGTAAATTCTTCTATATTCTATCCTTTTAGAATAAACCTAGATTAAATGTATTGTTTTCAACTAAGGCTCATTGGAAAACTGTGCCTGTGGCAACATTGCCATTGGTTGTTGTATGTCTTTTGGCATATGAAGAAGAACAGCCAGGACTTTCTCATAAATTTCTTTATTTTTTCCATACAGGTTGGGTAAATTCTTCTATATTCTATCCTTCTAGAATAAACCTAGATTAAATGTATTGTTTTCAACTAAGGCTCATTGGAAAACTGTGCCTGTGGCAACATTTCCATTGGTTGTTGTATGTCTTTTGGCAGTTTGGAAATAAAATACCCGGTGAGTGCTGCTAATCACTCGGTTAATCGTGTAATCTCTACCCTAAACCTAACTGATAGTGGGAACAAAAGAAACAGAGATAAAAACATATTTGCTAAAGCAACCATGCCATTTGCATCTACAAGATTTGCAGCTCTTTTATTGTGACTCGTACCCGAGTGCTCTGCATGTCAAGTGCAGTGCTGTATCAGGTGAGCTACTGAGCAAGTTTACTACATCAGCCATACATTTGGAGCTGGTTATGTGATGCAAATGTCAAGATGTATTAGTTTACAAATCATGTATTATGGTAAACGTGTTTTGTGGTCTTCTTGTGCAAGGAACCATGCAAAAATAAGTATTTAATAATTGATGATCTGCCCCTACAATCATAATTTTTCTCCAAACTTAGTCCTGGAGGGCCACTGTCCTGCAGAGTTTAACTCCAGCTTGATGGGGTGGGAACTACACTTTGCAGGACAGTGGCCTGCAGGAGCAGAAATTAACACCACTGTCTAATTATATACAATTTAACCACATGCATATGGTATACTCACATAAAAAGATAAATACTATATAGTAAATCCCAACTGCTTACATGTTTATATCATCCCAAAAATGTAAACTATATTATCACCCAGCTCTAATTTATCAAATGTAACTCTTAAGATATAAACATTAACATCATGATTTTCTGTAAAGCTGCTCTGGAACTATATCTATTGTGAAAGCACTATATAAATACATTTTCCAGTAAGCCTACAGTATGTTGATTATTTTATTTCTATTAGGTACTTTTGCTAAGTTTTTTATGTACTGTACTCACTGAAACAATCTGTGTCCTTTAAAGTCCCCATGAAATCAAAATTAAAGTTTTTTGGGTGTTAGTATCAATATGTTAGTCTTAAGTTTATCTATAAGGCAGTGTGCTCCAAAACAGTGACAAAATTCGCATTTAGAAGATATAAGCATGCAAAGCTTGCAATTCGTCACTTCCTTATTTTAAAAAGGGGCGGGGCTGCTTGATATGTCCCGCCCTGTCTTCCTGTTTCAGTTAAAATGACGTCAACACATAGAGAACCGCCGTGTGTTTCTAAGCATTTCAGGGGACCTTTAACCTGTGAGTAGATTCACTGTCTTTGTGAAAAATGTTTATCGTAATGCTTAGTGTGCTTTTGTGTATACCGTATGCATTAGTGAGCTATCTAACGGAGATGTGTGTGTGTGTGTGTGTGGGTCATGTGAAGGTTAATAGCTGAGCGCCGCTCTGTGAGAGTGAAATAAAGTGAGGTGATGGGGCCAGTGGGGGAGGCCCCTCATGGCCAATTAAAATACAGTCTAAATTAAACACTCGGCAATATGCTGATTGGCCACAGTGTTTCTGACGGACTGATTTAATGCTGCAGAACAACATAATTGTTGTGATTATTACAGTACAGTAATGATTAAATATAACAAATATTGGTTAACTGGAGCTGAAATAAAATGTTTAATTTGGAAAATGATTTGGCTAAATTCACATGGATATACTGTGTAAATGAGCTTATTTAATCATTTTAAACCATATAATAATAAAACTGATATGAATCCTCTAATATTTAAAATTACTTTATAGCTATAACTGGAATCCATTCAGTTTTAAAAACCTGAAGTTATCAATTATATTTCTTGTAAGTATCAGATGTTTTAACAAAAATTTCTTTGGGGATATAAAAATAGACACAAATGAGTCAATGGTTGACATTCAGTAGGTGTATAGAGCTATCAAATTAATATAGGTCGCATAACTCCTAATAAGAATTTAATAAAAAAAAATAAAAAAAATGTTTGACCTCATATTAAGCTCACTAACTGTTGATAGCATACTCTAGTATCTTGACAAATCTGAGCACAGTTGAGATCTCTCCTGAAAGTGAACTGTAAAAAAAAAAGTAAATACATTTCCGTTTTTCTACTTTAAATTTTCACATTTTGATTAATTTACTCCTCATCAATTTATTGTAATTGTTTGCATATTTGCTTCTTAGCATATTTGTTTCTGAGTGAAAATTGTTTCTGCACCATCTTATTTTATTTTTGTTTGTTTTCAGTGTAGAAGGTGATTGTGTGTGTGTGTGTGTGTGTGTGTGTGTGTGTGTGTGATCCCTCTGTGTTTGTCTGTGTGCAGGTGATAGCGTGTGAACAGCAGTATGACTACTCATATGACGCCCGCTGTGATGTGTGGTCTCTGGGCATCACTGCCATAGAGCTGGCGGACGGAGACCCACCCCTGGCCGAGATGCACCCTGTCAAAGCACTCTTCAAAATACCGCGGTGAGACAGCAGGGGGACCTATACTCACACCACACTCACTAAAGACTGGGGAGCGAGCGTGAGGGATCTGGAGACTTCATGACTACTGTATTATGAATACTGTGAATTTGAACATACAACTCTGGTCTCATATTGTTTTTTGCCTACTATAGTGAGGTATGCGATTTTGGATGCAGCCTGGCTGTTTTTGCGACTGCATCTTAAGACTGCTATATGCAAATGACCTCTGTTATGATTGGCTAATATCTGTTTATCCGCATCATACATCAGGCTGGGCCAAGTTGCTGAATACTGAATAGGTGTGGATGTGCAAATGTGTGGTTTAATGAGCTGCTTGTCTACTTTTGGTGATTATTTTTAGTAAATGGTCTATCCTGACTGGACTGGATATTTGTGTAGTGAATGTAATATAGTTTTTTCAATGATATGACTCTTGAAAGCGTGAACTGGCACATTGGTGCTTTATTCAGTTTAATATTCCACTGTGCTCTTTGCCATGCCCGGTGATTTCCCAGTTCACCCTCATTTAGCTTGACTGTTTTATCGTCACAGAATCAGGGGATCTCACGTGTCTCAATATTCTGTTTAGCGATAAACTGTAAGAGCTTTGATGAGAATCTGACCTTTTGCCATCTTTATGATCACACTGTTATCGCCCAGAATGCATTGTGGTTATGTCCTTTGATTGCAATTTGCATTTGTGATTAGCCGCCCTCCCTTCCCCATTGTCATTTAGATGAGGCAGACGCTCATGTTATCTGCCCCGCTCCAGGCCTGCGGGGGATGGGCCGCTCGCTGTCGGGACACTGACACCGCAGCGGTTTGCTCACTTTTAGAGAGAGGCTACGCAACTCAATGACAGAGAATACTAGCTTACTGCTTAGTGCACATTATGTATTATACATTATGCTGAATAATGCCTACTTTTCAAGAGAGAGAAAAAAGTGAAATGGTACTGGTGTAAATATAGTTAAAGGATTAGTTCACTCCAGAATCAAAAGTTCCTGATTATTTACGCACCCCCATGCCATCCAAGATGTTCATGTCTTTCCTTTTCTTCGGTCGAAAAGAAATTAAGTTTTTGAGAAAAACATTCCAGGATTTTTCTCCATATAGTGGGCTTCAGTTGTGGCCAATGGGTTCAAGGTCCAAACTGCAGTTTCAATGCAGCTTCAAAGGGGCTTATACATAATCCCAGCCGAGGAATAAGGGTCTTCTTATCTAGCAAAACTATCAGTCATTTAAAAAAAATAAATGTATATACTTTTTAATCAAAAATGCTCATCTTGCACTAGCTCTGCAATGCTTTGCCACAACTTCACGTGGTCACGTTGGAAAGGTCATGTTTTTTTCCTAGCGGAAGGAATCTTTTAGGTTTCAAAAGGCAGGTGGATGCTGCACACTGGCGGTGGTTAAGGAGAGACCCCTTCATATGATTGTAAAGTGCTTTGGGTGTACAACAATACACAAAAAAGCACTATACAAATGCCTCATTCATTCATTCGAAAGATTTAAAGGGGTCATATGATGCGATTTCAATTTTTCCTTTCTCTTTGAAGTGTTACAAGCTCTTGGTGCATAAAGAAGATCTGTAAAGTTGCAAAGACTAAAGTCTCAAATCCAAAGAGATATTCTTTATAAAAGTTAAGAGTCAACCACGCCTACCTAAAA